TCCCCAGCCAGCATGGCTGGCTGGGGAATTCTGGGAATTGAAGTCCACACATCTTCAAATTGCCAAGGTTGAGAAACATTGTGCTGGAGAGGTGGCAGGGAAAAAGGACGCCCAGGTCTCTCCAGAAAGATTAACCCTAAATCTTCCCTCTAACAGAATCACACATGCACAGTCACATGAACTGAGGATTCAAACCAGGGTTAAAAATCAGAGTGGTTGATAATCATCTTCCCAAGGGAAGCACATGCCCTCCCCACTGATCTCCAAGAACGTGCATGCATCGTGCATTAAAAGGGTGGGAGCTGGCTTCCAAAATGATTTCAATTAGTTTCAGAAATACACTGATCTGGATTCTCATGGAGTGGGGGGGGAACTAGAGAGACATGCTGAGGACATACTGTCTGTTGCTTTGAAGGGTTTCGCAGCAGCAGGAAACTCATCTGAAGCACAAAGAAAGGGGGGGGGGAAGCAGAAAGTGAAGTCCTCCTGGGTGTAGGGTCATCACAATTTCTGCTAGAGAAGGGAGGAGGAAGAGGCCATCCGAGAGATAAGGGGTGAAAGTGACGAGATGACTTTTTAATCCTAAATTTCCAAGGAGGGGTGCAGGGCTCTTTTACTCTACATTCATATGACAACTGAATTTTTCATGCTGCAGTCACTCAAAGCTCTCACGGTCTGTTTTCAGCACCTTCAAAGGTCAAGGAAAGCCCCCATCTCTCATTTATCCTACTTAGATGGACCGCTAAATGGATCCAAATTGGCATCAGGAAAATCACATGCAGGAAGGAAGGCCAGGAGAGGTCCCAGCCAGGGTGGTGGGTTGATCCGAGATAAGGGATATGGGTCAAAGAGACAGGCAGCCCCCAAACTGCTCCAGCCTTTGCCTTTGAGGTTTCCAGAGAGCATCAGTTGCCGTCTGATCCTCCACGAAGGCAGCGCTGTGGACCACCAGTTACTCAAGCCGGGGAGGTGGCCGCGAAGACCAGTTTCCAAGGGGCTTTTTGACGGAAAAGATGGGAGCGCAGAAGCACGCCAAGGGTGCATTCTCATCTACAAACATCCAGACTCAGTCCACACATATTGACCAGCAATTGGGGGGTGGGGGTGGGGGTAGGGGAGGCTTCCTTG